AAATATTGGGTTGTCAACAAAGTCATGACTTATTTTTTCTATGTGTTTCATTGCAAAAATGCGTCTGACTTTTCTGACAACCCAATACTTGTTGGTTGAATTGAAATTAACTGGCTAATTAAAGATTGGTTAAACTTTTAAAATATATTTAATTAATTCACCTTTGCAGATTTCCAAATTCCTATTCCAGTACTACACTGCTGCTTTGAATGAAATGTGCTTTCAATTTGGGAGCTTACTCCTGTGGAGTCCAGAATTCAGGAACAATTGAGCTCTCATATTTACCATCAAACTCAAATGTGTTTTTAACTCGAGGACTGTGATTAATGGCAACCAAACATGATAAAGCTAGAAGGATATATTCTGCAAAATACAGAGAACAATATGATCTCCTTCCAGAATATTAAGCAGTATCAACTGCAACAAAAAATTAATGGATATGTAAAGTCCATATAGGATGATAAAGAACAAAGTAGCATGATCAGTTTACTTTGTGGGGTTTATTTGTCTTCACTTTTCATAGTGAAATTTAGCTTGAGGTTTAAATATGGATAGCTCATAAATGCACTTTTTAAGATCTCACAAATATTTTCAAGGGTAGTTTATTTGAAAGTAAAATGTTTGTCACTCTTCCTTGCAAAGCAGTTTCAAAATCCTAACCTTTGTAGTGAATTGACATACAAATAATAGTTCCAGTAACCATTCACTAATTTGGAAATCTCTGCTAGGATTTAAAAAAAAGGATAAAATATCTATGAAGCTCATATTCTAGTTGGCTGTTAATAAAATAATTACTATTGCACAAGGTTTAATATATTTTGGGTTTACAACCAAGAGGCAAATAAATGTCAATATATCTAATTAAAAATGAAGCAAAAGTTTTATATCCCTTATATTAGGTAAAACTACAACAAAACACAAATCATTTTTTTCTGAATAAATGAAATACATATTTGGTTATAATGATTTTAATTAAAATGTATTTAAAGTTTTAACAAAAGTTGTTTGAGGTACCATATTAGAAATACATTATGTTTTTTTACCCCCTCAACCTTTTGGAAACCAAGTAATTATACTGTAATGGGAGAAAAAATTTCAGACACCAAAACTGAAATACATTCTTTCTATAAACTATTGAGGCAGGAGAGTAACTGTGTAGTACTCTACTTTTCTTGTTCTTTGATATGAAATAGTTCTAAGACAAATTTTTGAAAAGAAATTAGAAATGAATCTTTTAAATAATAGAAATGTATTTATCCATTTGGTAGGAGAAGTAGAAATAAAATGATAAGGTGAAACTTACTTGCCTTGTTAGTTTAGAAAATTATTTCAGGACTGGAGATGCTTGTGAAGCTGTGCCCCATAGGACTCAAGGCATTCACAAGAACTGTGAGAGATGATGGATGACTTTACATGCATGTTATTATGCAGTGTGATTTTGGTCAATTCATAGGTCACTCTGAGGGATTTTCCAGAGAAAGTGCATATTCCATACCTCACCATTTCTCATCCTGGGTTTAGTTAAAAACAAACCAAACACTGTAGACAATCTGACCTCCACTGGAAAACACAAAATTCTTTCAAAGCCACTGTCTTTTGACAACAGTGTAACAGGACATTGGATATACCTATGTAAAGCATGGTAAATTGCACTGGCTATTTTTTCTGCCTAGATTACTTTTTACAAAATTGACTGCTTTCCTTTTCAGGACTCAGGCCCCATACCATCTTCTCAATGAGTTCTTTCCTAGCTACACCAATTAAACAGCCTTCCCTTAGCCTGTCCTATCTCAATCACTCCAAAAATATACTTTGTTTTATTTGCTTTACAGAAGTTGTCACTGTTTGAAAAATATTTTCTTTATTAATTTAGTGTTTAATCTTCTTTACTGAACACTTCTTGGGAGAGTGGTCACTTCTAGCTAAAGAACCACTATGATTCATTGGACAAATACCTGTTGATGTCTAAGAATTTGGGTGTAAAATGTTGAGTAGAGTAAACATGACACTTGCCCTTGTGTAGTTTAAAGTGCACTGAAGAAAACAAATAACTAGACAAACAAATGTAAAATTATAATTGATAAATGCTAGGAAGGAGAGAAATGAGGGCTGTGAGAGCCTATAATAAAAAAATCTAATTTGGTTAAGTAGATCAGAGGTTTCTCTGAGGAAGAAACTTTTGAGCCAAGATTTAAAACCTTAGTAGATATTAAGTGAAGAGTCTAAGCTGAGGGAACAGCCTGTGGAAAGACATTGTTGCAAGAGGGAAGATGATGTACAGGAAGGAGTGAAAGAAGGCTGATGAAAGTAGCTTGCACACAGGAGCAGGGTAGAGGGCAAGATACAAGAACAGATTACGGAGCTCTGCATTGGGTAGAATATGTGGGGATTTGAGAATTGTGACTTTATCCTGAGCGAAACAGAATTTTTGAATGCTGTGGTTTTGTTTTTGTTTGTTTGTGTGTGTGTGTGTGTGTGTGTGTGTTCACAGGAGAGTATTATCAGATTTGTGTTTTGTACAGGTGATTGTGACTAATCTGAAGAGAACATTCAGATGATAATTTCTAAACAAAAGTGTATGGATGTCATGGCAGTATCCCTCAGGAGAAGTGGTGAAAGTTGGGATTCAGTTTGAGCTGGTGGGAAAGGAAATAAGTAGTAGGTAGATTCAAGAAATACAAACAATAAAATTGAAAGAACTTGGTATTTGATTAGTTATGAAGGATATAAAAAATAACTTGGTATCTGTCTGTGCTGATGAATTGTGTAGCCATTCTCTGAGAGAGAAACTACAAGGAGATATTGTGAGGTATTAGATCATGAGCTGGGTTTTGACATGTTCAGCTGTAGGATGTTATTGGGAGGTTGGATAAATTATGATTCTTTACATTTTTTTGAATTTCTATGGGTTAGAAGTTTAGCTCTACTCCATCCAACCTGAGCAATTATTTCCCATCATCTCTCCTTAATAGCCAAATAGAATTATGCAACTATGTTTCCTACACCCTAACTTCTAAATAATATATGAAGCCTTAAATTTCAGCTAGAAGAAGTCTACTATAGTGAAAACTGATGAATTGGCTGTTGCTGGTTTTATCTATAAAGGATATGGGGATCAATAACTCAGAACCTGCTATCAAAACCATATTCAGAAAAAATAGTAGAATCTCAACATATAATTTCACAGAACCTGAGCAGAAATTGTCAAAACCTTGTTACATTTAATGCAGACATCATAGCCATGTCAAATAACATTTTATAATATCAGATTAGAATGATCATAGCACATTTCAAGTCAGAGTTATAACACCTCTCTAACATATTTGGCCTTTACTATTTATTATCTATCCAATAGGCAACAGAGCTAGGCAAGAAATATTTTAACTGGGCCAACCGAGTGGCTCAGTTGGTTAGAGTGTGAGCTCTGAACAACAAGTTTGCAGGTTCAATTTCCACATAGACCAGTGAGCTGCGCTGGAGCTGAAGTGCTGCTGAGCTGATGAGAGTGTGTGCTCTTAACAACAAGGTTGCTGATTCGACTCCCACATGGGATGGTGGACCACGCCATCCACAACTAGATTGAAAGTAGCGGCTGGATTTAGAGCTAAGCTTGCTCTCTCCACAACTAAGATTGAAAGACAACAACTTGACTTAGTGCTGATGGGTCCTGGAAAAACACAATGTTTCTTTTCTCTAATTCACCAACACTGTTCCCAACCCAATTCCTCAACAAAATCTTAAAAATATATTTTTTTTAACTAAAATAACACAGTTATGTTGAGACCTATGTGTGAGGTACTTTTTAAAGACAGCCCTAAAGTATCTAAACTGTAGGAAAATTACATTAGAAACAATTAACTAGAATACACCTAGAAGACATTTTGTTTTTTTAATTTATTTTTATCATCTTAACTTTGTAGAAACTCTGGGATAGCACACAGGAATACTTTCAATTTTTAAGTCATTTTATAAGAGTTTGCATGAACATTACTTTTCAGAAAGATTTCTTATATTACTTTTAGGATCTCCATCTGTCTATCTGCCCATCTATCTATTATCTATCTATCATCTATCATCTATCTATCTTCTATCTATCCTCACAGTATATAGGTGTGTATTTATATTAACCACTATAAAATGCTTAATAATTATATGTTGTTCATGACATGTTTGATTTAAAATCTTGTGTAAAATTCATCTGCTTTAAACAATAACTTCCAGCAACGGTAACACTATTCTAAAGTAGAAAAAATTTTGACACTTCCGGGAAATTCATCAAATAACCTAACCAAGCAGTCTGCTTACACATAGACCAAGGAGTTATGTGAAAAGGAATTTGTTGATGATCTTGAAGTAAAAATAAAAGATCCTAAAATCTACCATTTTGTTTTACCATATTTTTCTCTGTGTAGAAAAATATCAATCTTCAATCAATGTAATTTAATTTTATACTAAAGCCAAGTGAGATATATAGTCCAAAATTTTAATTGGCCTCTACAAATGTATAAAAATTATAAATGCAAACAACCACAAGAAAAGGAGTAATATGTAAACAATGATATGCTATTGAGCCAAAGTGATATTTGAGTCCCTTCATTGACAGCAAAGTAACAGAGGGCCACAAAATTGAAGGAATGCATGTGGCATTTGGAAAGAGTAGTAAATGGTCAGTAGTGTCCACCACTGAGAATAGTTAGACTTGATAGTTTTTCATGATTATGTGGTTGGATAAGAAGATAGTTTTACTAGTAAGCAATCATGTGTGCTCTACAGAATGTTTAATGCAATGTCAGCCACAAATCACTGTAGTGGTATCTACCTCTGAGTGAGTTCAGTATTTCTAATTTGTAACCATAACATCTTACATTGAAAAATATTTGCAAGCAGTATATAGAAACTATAAAACTGAAACTCATTAAGTATTTTATACCAAATATTGAGGAAAGTTGAAATACTCTACCCAATGCAGAAAACATTCACATTCAGAAATTTTTTTCCAGTGCTCTTTTTTTAATAAATTTAAGTATTCTCTAATTATACACAAAAATTTGTTGCATTAAAAAGTTTGAGAAGATACAGAATAAAATATAAAGAAGAAAATGAAAACCACCCACAATCCCATCTCCAGAAATAGCCATTGTTACTATTATGTTGTATTCGCTTTTGGTATAGTCTTATGCATGTATACTTTTCAATATAACTAAAATCACAACATAATTAGATTATCCTGCCTTTCTCACTGAACTTTGCATCATTATAATTTTCTGTGCTGTTAAATATTGTTTAAAATCATGAATTTTCAAGTCTACACAATAACCAATTCATTAGATGTACAATAATGTATTTAACAGGTAATGGGAATGTTTGCTATTTCCAATGTTCATTATTAAAAATAAAAATTTTGCAACTTTTTTACATTTGAATCCAATGCTCTTTCTTTAAACCATTATGTTACACATAAATGTTTCAGTTTTATGGCATAATAAATCATTTAACAGACATAAAGCAAGCCTAACAAGAATTTTGAAAATTAAAAAAATTAATTTAAAAATATTTTTGGAGATATAATATGGATAATGAAAAAGTTACTACATTTGAAGACTCATTACTTTAAAAGGGCACATGTTTTTCAAAACATGCTTTACTAATATTCTCCATGAAGCTGATGCCATTTACAGCAATAGTCTTAGCGTTGAACAAAATGCCTAAACTTTTGTGGGTGGCTGTTGTGATCTTGTCTAGTAAATAAGATCTCGGGCAGGTTTTGTCTTCTTAAATGGAGAAGAGTCATCTGGAATAGCTTGAGTGTTGAAAAGTGTAGTTCACATTTTTAGCACTTCTGCAGGTGTCGTCATTTTGATTGTTAGGCTCAACAATTAGTGCTGTATAAAACAGACAGTTGTTAAACTCAAGATCCATCCATGTTGTCACAAATGGCACTATTTCATCTTTCTTATGGCTGAGTGATGTTCCATTGTATATATGTACACAACACACACACAATGCAATATATAGATGATGTATTATAGAATTTTACACTTGAAACCTATATAATTTTATTTACCAATGTCACACCAATAAATTTAATTTAAAAAGACAGTTATTACAACAATATTCATTGTAGTACAATACAAAGATTATTAGCTGAGAAATGCTTATCTGTAAGTTAGGTTGCCTTTATAGTCAAAGTTAAGTGGAAAATAAGTGAAACATTTACCTAGATAATTCAAATCAATATAGTTGATAAAGAGAGTTAAGAATACATCTTTTCAAAAATTAGTCTTATTTAATTAATTCCAATTTTAAATTTATAATATGTGGAAATGAATTAAAATTCTTATGTTTTAACACTAGAGTCTATAAATGCCACCATTGTTTATTTTTTGTTCCCATTTAGTAGCTGGTCATTAGTATTAGTATTAGTCATTATCTAAAAAACAAAATAAGTACTTGTAAAAAAAACCATCAGTGAGACTAAACTAGGTTGTTTAGGACAGCAAGTAGGTAGTTGTTATTTGCTTCCTGGAGGTATTGAAAAATCATATTTAGAGCTTTGCCTCTGATTTCCAATCTATCCCCCCAAAACAATGATAAAAATTGGAATATGACTTTTCAATCACTCTTTAGTGATAGAATGAGCGTGCTCATGATCTGACTGATGGCTAACTAGAAAGAGGGAGCAACTGTTTTATCCTTCTCCATCCCACAAATATTCTTTATATCAAAGCCTTCATCATCCTCAAGAGAAGTTGTATTGTCTTTATTGGTTAACTTAATACTCATAACACACATTGTTTCATTCGCTATGTAAGACATATCCTTATAAGAAAAGGCTGCAACTTACCCACTAGTAGACAGATCTTTTCTTACATTAGAAAGCAAGGGTTCAGAATGAAAAAAGGATCTAATCCACCAAGTGGATTCTGCCGCTTCGGGTAACCCTATAAAATAAAACTTTTATTACCCCCTTATCAAACACATTTGAGATATTAAAAACACAAAAATAATGAGGATGGTGTTGATAAGAAATAAACCAAATACCTTGCAGGGATTTGTCCTCATCTATGAAATTAACAGAGTCAGAACCAGTTAGAGAGCTAACTGAAGAAATACTGGCCTCTACAGGGAAAAAAAAATAATAAATTAACATAAATAATAAACAAGCACACATATTATTTATCTCTAAACTCTCAAGTCACATGGCTTAAGATCATTTACTTCTGGCTCATGAATTTATTAATTGAATACATCATTAATCAATTAAAAATTGTTCCAGAATAAGACATATTGCATTTTTTACAAATATAGTACATTCTTTTTCATTGTAGACATAGACATCTCTCTCTCTCTCTCTCTCTCTCTCTCTCTCTCTCTCTTTCTCTCTTTCCCTCTTCCACCTTCTCCTTCTTTTTCTCTCTGTCTGTCTCTCCATAGATAACATAGATATAGGTATAGAATTTAAAATGTTATATATGTTGTCAAATTAAAAATCTTAGGAAATACAAAATTAAAAAATAAATATTATTGTACTACATTAGATATATTATGTATACATATTTATGTAACCTACAAAAGCTATCAAATTTAGAAATAAAGGAATTATTTTTTAAAATAAATTTGTTTTATTATACTTGTATTTGAAACCTGTAGGTCTTTTAAAAGATCAGAATATAAAAATAACTTCTGTGGATATAATAACACTAAGTAAATAAGCATAGTTTAACCTTGTTGTAAAAAGAATAAATCAATATATATTTCTAATTCTTATGCTAGAAACAACCCTTAAAATAAGAGTTTTTTACATGTTGCTGGCATATTTTCAATAAGTGATCATTTGGCTTTAAATTTTATTTAAGAAGCTATAATTTTCTATTGAGTTATGAATACTCACAGATAGATAGGTAAAAATAAAACTGGAATGATAAATGCTGACCAATTGTTTATAGCAGCAAATGTAAATCAGAAAACCTCTGAAGCATAGTCATGCTGTCCCTGCTTTTTTAAGGAATAAATATTATTTTATTTATGTAAAATTGTCAGGTTTTAATGTATCCTATTAAATTAAAGTTATTGAAATTAAGCATAATTATAAAATATAAGCTGATTTTCACTCATTTATAAGTGTTAATGGTTTCATCAATACAATATAACATACTTAAAACAAAGAAATGTCCTTGATAATGTTGATTCAGAGAGATCTCTAATAAGTTCTATTCCTATTTTCTTCATGATCACAAATGGTTGTCAGTATTCTCTCTTAACTCCTGACCAGATGATGATACATAGGTTACTAATATCACACAGACATCACCTCAAATCATCTTCTAGGGATATTCTCTAGTGATGATATAACTTACTTCGATAATACTGATTTTTGGCCAGAAGGCAACCAATAGAAGGTACCGATGCCATTGCTTTCCCTGTGACAGACCACCAGAGAGAGTGTGAACAGCAGTCTGGGAAACAGTGACTGGAAGAGAGAGGTTGATATTAACAACATAAATTTTCCTTTTTTCCCCATGTAAATAATTTTTGCAAAGCAAGATAAATTAATACCATGTAATAAATATCTGATAAAAAGAATTGAAAAGTTTACACAAAATTGTAATCAAATATACTGCAATAAACAAAACAATGCAATCAATGACTATATTTATTTTTAAAACCAAGAAAAAAAATGTAACCTACTACAATGTCCACAACTTATTTTATTTGAAATAAACCTAAAGGCACAAGAAAAAATATTAACACAGCCATGATATAGTCACTCACCTATTTGTTCTCCCCACTTTTTTTTTTTAATAAAGGTGATTCAAAAATTTCCTCAGAAAATGCACAGTTTGAGGCAACCAGGACAGACTGTGTTGCCCCAGCAGGCTAGGAGACATGTGTGCAATGATTGTGAATGTGGCCTGGGATTTCTGAGCACACCTTATATTTAGAAGTCTGAAACCTGAGCCGTGGGTGAACAGAGGCGAGTTGGGCACACAGTCAGCCAGAGTCACTGTGAGTAAGCTCTCTGCCCTTGACCATGTCAGCTTGCCAAGTGGGGCTGCACGCACCAGGGACAGACTTGGCCTAGACATTGTTTTGCACTTGTCCTCTGTAAGGTCACAGCTTATGACTGACACTTTCTACAGGGAAGGAGTTAATAACCACATATCCTCTCAGGACTGGATACATCATGCATTCTGGGATAAAGCACCATGCTGGACTCCATACAGGACACCATAGCCAACTGGGGGAATTGGACATACCCACAAACACATTGATGCAAGACAGAGTCACAGGGTCACAGAGAACAATGAAGAACATGAAACATTGAAGGATGATGAGTTAGAAATTTCAGTGAGAATGATACAATACATGGAAGTCATGGATATAAGGGGAAATCATAATTTTATCACATTATATTAATATTATTTTTTGATACAAAAGTTAATTTTCTATTCTAATTTTAGTATTACTCTTTATATAAACTATTCTACCATTTCCTAGACTTGGTTTACTTATGGATTCAATGTGGCTCCTGGTTACATTGAGGGAGTTCTCTCAAGTTGTTCTTTATTCGGTAACTATTAGTTTTACCAGCTTAAATTAACTTTGATAATGTAACATTACTATAAAATTACTCATGTCAGCTAGGTTCAAATTTATGGACTCATGTCTTATTTAAAACATTTATTTTAATATGCCATTATGGATCTTCACCTGGTTATAGCTCCTTTATGTTGCTAGTATTATTTACTTCTGCTTTCTCTCATTTTTTCTTGATTAGTTTTGCTGCAGGTTTCTCTATTAAATTAGTTCTTTCAAAGAACTGTCTGGTCCTTTCTTTTGTTTCTTGGTTTTAAATTTCATTATTATTTTTTAAATAAAGATTATTGGGGTTACAATGGTTAATAAAATTACATAGGTTTTAGGTGTACAATTCTGTAATACATCATCTATATATCACATTGTGTTTTCACCACCCATAGTCAGTTAAATAAAGAAAAAAACCATCATAGACACAGGCAATAGTTTGGTGGCTACCAGAGGGTAAGGAAGAAGAGGGTGGTATATGAGGGAGGGTAAAAGGAATAAAATATATGGTGATTGAAAAAGAAATGACTTTGGGTGGTAAATGTCATTACTTTCTGTCTTGATTTTACTCTTCTTCTTTTTACTTACTTTCAAATTATTCTTAGTGTTTTTTATTTCAAAATATTTTATAACTGCCATTATGACATTTGTTGAACATTTGAATTATTTAGGGATACTTTTCTTTTTCCAAATGTATGATTTTTAAAAACTATCTTTTCATTGATGATTTATAAATTCAATGCACTGTATTGTCAAGAGAGAATGTTTGATTTTTATTCATTCTTTGAAATAGTTTTTGGAAATGGCTGTTAATATATGCAGACTCATAGAAAAGCCCCAAGACTGAAAATCTACCTCTGTAAGAAATAGGCTGGCCATTTCAGGCTAGTAACTAATAGATCCTATTAAGGGAAACTTATATAGGTGGTATGTCCTGGGCAGCTGCAAGATGAAATGAATCCCCATGTTGCTTGACAGGGGCCAGAGAATTATATAGGGTAAAGGGAGTGTAAACAGTTACAGGTAGTGGTATGTGAATGCCAGCAGGTATGGAAGTTACTTTACATGCTTGACCAGGTGAAGACAAAAACCAGCACATAGCAGGAGGCAAGTGAGTGGGGAAGGTGTATGTCAGAATAAACCTCAATTATGATCAGACAGTCTCTAAGGGAGATTTAGAGAAAGCAACCTTCATTCTGGCCAAGGTCCAGCTCCTAGGACAGGCAGTGGTTGCATCTTCCACAATGACTTTCTGTATATTTGAGAAAAATAAATATTCTAATTAACTGCATACAATCATTATTTTATATGTGTTCATTAGGCTGTGTTACTTAATTTTCTTAAACAAATAAGCTATATACTTACAAATCTTACTGCTTGATCTACCAATCTATAGTGTAGTTGCGTCATCTAATTATATCAATTTTTGTTTCATATATTTTGAAACTATATGCACACAAATCATGATTTAATATCTTCTCTATAGTTCTCTGCTTTTATCTTCATTTATGAGCACTAGCACTTTACTTTTGCCCTAGATTCTAGTTGGTCTAATATCAATATTGCTGCACCAGCTTTTTTGTAAGTAATTACAAGGTATATCATTTTGCATCTCTTTATTTTCAACTCACTGTACTATTTCATCTTAGAAATCACTTATATGCACCCTGTAGCTGTATTGTTTTTCCTAATTTTATATACAAACACACTTTCTAAAAATATGGGTTTAATCCATTAACATTTATTGGAATTAGTCATGCATTTCAACTTGTTTTTATCATCTATGGTTTCTATACAATCACATTTCTTTACTTCTTGTATAGACTTTTATCTCTCTGCCCTTCTAGAACAATATATTGCATTTTTATTATTTTATTTTATTCTTTGAATGAGTACTCTTATTTTTATTACCATAGTACCCAACTCTAAGTTCTTTAACAAGCTCATTCTGCAGTTGCACTGGGTTTGTCTAAGTATAGAATTTGCTTTATTAATTCTGTACTGTACTCAAAATGTACACTCCACCCAAGAACTCATCTTCTTTTTCATTTTGGAGAATTCTCAACTATTTTTTCTTCAGGTGTTGCTTTTATACTGTATTAATTAGATCTTCCCACAAAAGGTCATTATAAACACCTATGTGCACATACACCAGTCAATGGCCTGAAACAATAAACATGTGTCTCTCAAATCAGTTGATACAAACAGTAAACGTGCCTGCACATTTGCAATTAGATGAAGAGGCTCTTCCAGCACAGGTCTGCAGGTTGGTTGAGATGTGGATGATCTCCATGTGGCCTCAGGCCATGTGTTTGGTTTTGGTCGGCTTCCTGTGCCTATGATTGCTCAGAGCCACCAGAAAAGTTATTGAAAATATTCAATGACTTTTTAGGTCTAGGGTGGCAACTGTCATATCAGCTAATATTCCAACGGCCGAACCAATCATATACCTAAAACCAAGATTAATGGAGTAGGGATGTATGCTACCACCATAAAGTGTTGGAAACATGGGGGGAGTAAATATTTGCTAGACAATATTTTAATCTACCATACCCATTATTTCCTCTATTCTTTATTTCTGATCTCCTCTTAGATGTCAGAGTCTTTCTTTATAGCTTTCATGTTTCAACTACATATGTGTGTATACTTTTAAAACTGTATACAAAATATAAATTATATAGTCAATTTTGTCATGTATCTATGATGTATTCTGAATGAATCTCACAGCATTTCTTTTAATTTACTACTTCTTACCTTAAATATGTACAATTGAAAGTTTATCCTGTTTGTTGAAATTTTAAATTTTTCATTGGCATCTATTTTTTAGAGTGTTTCTAAGTAGTTTTTTACTACATCTACCTAATCTACCTCTTATTGTATTTTTATGCCTTTTCCCCTGTAATTCCTTCATTTGTTTCTCTGATCATCCTTAACATGGTCATTATGAAATCCTTATTAGACCTCTCCATAAAATTAACTTAATCTGATATACTTTCTGTCACTATTATTTACTTATTGGTTGTTGTTTTCATCATTAGATTTCTTAATAGGTTTTATAATCTGGGTTTGCAGGTTCATTTTGAGTGGGAGATAACTGTTATTATTCTCTTTCTCTCTGCATCACCCCATCTATTACATCACTCTCTTTCTCCTGGCTAGTGGTGACAAGGTTTTACCCACCTGACTCTAGTTTTTGTACTTTCTATTATAACAATACTCACATTTCATTGAGCTGTTTCTGTCACACATTCGAATGTAACTTCCTCAAAGATAGAGTGTACCCATTCATTTTTGTTTCAACAATGCCTACCACAAAACCAGATATATATTAGTATGTGTTCTAAAAATCTGATAAAACCAATGTATTCCTCCTGTGCATAGTAATGAGGATTACATCTTGGCAAATAATTAAAATGTCAAAGCTCAGATTGCCATGCTATTACTATTATATAATGAGACTAATTTTTATCTGACTGTTTTCTGATTCATGTTTTTTTTACTATCTAACTATTAAAATTGATTACAACCACATTTTAATGAGTCTTTTGTCTCATAATTAATTTATGTTAACATTTATCTTTGATGATAATGAGAGTGATTACCAAACTGTGATGACTAACTTCAAACCATGGAAGCTAGAGCTATCATTTATGTGTCTGTTCAGACAAGTTGAAAGATGCTCCCAAATGACACCTCTTATAGAGAAAAATAGATGCAAGAAGGAATTAATACTAATTAAAGTTAATTGCAGCCTTTCTGATAAGTGATCTATTTATCACAGGTGAGATACTGTTACTCTTTCTAATTATATTGACATTGAATAAAGTAGTAAATAGATATCAGATTGCTGGTTTGTAGAAAAAGGAAATTCATGGCAGGAAAAATGGTTAAACTTATAGTTTATTATGACCCTAAGTTGTCATAGACAATTGGCCAGTTGAACAGTATAAGATCAATATCTGACCGTTCTGGAAGACTTAAACTGTACAGATATAATTCCAATCTGCAGTTATAAATAAAATATTTCAGGGATTTTATATTTTCTTATTTACTTATTTTTATTAATTTCAGGTGTACAAAAACAACATAGTAATTGGACATTTATACACCTCACAATGTAATCACCCCAATAAGACTGTTACCCATCTGACACCATATATAGCTATAACAATATTATCAGCTATATTTCCTATGATGTACTTTATATCCCCATGACTATTTTTTTAGTTACAGTTGAAATTCAATATTAGTTAATGTTAGTTTTAGGTGTACAGAGTAGTGGTTAGACATTTATATCATTTATGAAATGATCAT